TAGGAGAATTTGGTTTTTATTAGAAGCTAATACTTCTATTTGATTTTTATAGTATTGGAAGGAAATTATTTACTCATATAATACATGTAATTAATACATGTATGTGCCATACATACAATTTACATGAATAATTTTGGCTCATGCCAAAGGGCATAAACAAATTTACACTCTTTCACTTCACTGAATTTTGAAGTTTCTATGTATATTTTAGATCTGGGATTTGAAAATGGACAAAAATAATCTGTTGGAAAGAAAATAAAGTTCAAGTAGAGAAGTATGAATTAATCATTCTTTCAGTCATTCAACTAATTTTCATTACTGATAATAAAGTGGGTTACATTTTACAGCATTAATCCTTCATACAAGAGCCCATGATATTCAGCCCTAAGCAAGCTATGCTGTGGTATAGTTAGCCCCATGCAGATTTAGATGTATGCTACAGAAGCAGAAGAAGGAAAAAAAGTGAATTAAAGACCATAGTTTAAACAAAGCATATGATTTGAAGTATACTCTTTGGTTTAAATACAAATTCTCACCCCAAATGCCGAGGATTAACCACAAACTAGAGGTTGATAGAGAGTTGTATAATCAGCCTAACATTAAAAAAAAAGCATTACTGCTAATTAATAATTACTTTCAAATGGTACATTTCCCCACATTTAAACTTATCCAAATTTCCTCTATTTGACAACATATGCAATTTTACATCATTTAAAAAAACTGGTGAATAATTTTGCAAATAACACAAAAATATTCGAATCTCTTAAAATTAAATCAATATTTGGATTGTAATACCTTTTGCCAGTTAATCTTACAGTGCCAGGAAATCTACAAAATATTTCCCAAGTAGTGTTTGTTCTCAAGAATGCACAATAAAGAGGCATCTCTGTTCTTTGTTACAAGGTGCACACTGGCAGGGGAAGAATGCGTGAAACAGCACAATCTACCTTGGGAGGTTATTAGGACAGTAAGCACTTTAAAAGTAGGGTATTGAATTAATTCTATAATCTAAAGATACAGACAACCAAATACATAAATATTTCTATATTGTGTATATGGTATTATCTGGAAATCATAATACTAAATATATGAATAAATGTTTAAAAGTATTTAATACTGTAAATTGAAAGACAGTAAAATGCTTTAAAATTTTTCCTAGATCTTAAAAATAAAACATTGATAGATTTTTTAGTTCCTTTTTGTTATTCTCACTCACCAGCAACACACAGTTTTGGGGCTCAGGAATGGGAAACCAAGATCTCTCCCCCAAAAGTCAAAATAGACTTACACAAAAGGCTAGGACCTCATTGTCTTTCAGTCTATGATTCTCACATGCAGTACAAATGTCTTTATCAAGGAATTCAGATGCACTCAATTACTACATTTTTCAAAGCCCTGACTATGTGAAATTATGTGGGAAAGAAAACGAAAATATACCATTTATTTTACAGGTGATTGATTTAGGAAAAAGTCAAAGACAAAACAAGACAACAGATAAAACAAAACAAGAGATTGGAACTTAGAGGTAAGACTGTATTGACCTCTAAGCAGCGCTCTCTGATGGCAAATCATTCAGCAAGGTGTAACGGGGCCTCCATGTGTGTCTCTAGAGGAAAATCAGAAAAGGCAAAACGAGGGGCGAGACCGATGAGCGCAAGAAATCCCAGACAACTCTGAAGATTTCTGGTATGAACCTCACAATTTCTTGGGGTGGTGAGGGATGGGTACTTTGCTGCTGCCGCACTGAATAATTAAACACAGAATCTGCCCAGGGGCATTGTCTTCTACATATTTTTTTCTCCATATTTTTCCCTCATAAAGTAAAACTGAGTCTAAAGAGAGTGAAATAGAATCTTTGAATTCCCAGCGAGAACCCTCCATCTGCCCAAGGCCTCCCAAATCTACTAGATGGAGACCAACCACAGAAAGTTGCAAATCTGCCCAGATAGGCCCGAGGCCAAGGGCTGCCGCTGAGCTTTCTAGGTTTCTTGGTGAAATGCAAAAGAAAAATAAAGTTGGGGGTGGCAAGCAGGCGGTCGCCCGGATGGTTGGTGCAAAGTTTCAAAACTGGTAAAAAAAAAATCTATCTTTCCTTAAAATTAAGAAGTCAACCCTAAAGTCCAGCTTTCCCTTGGCGCTTTAAGGGTGGGGTGGGGTGGGGGCTCACCGCCTTGTCCGCAGCCGGGTTATTTCTAAGGAACACAGTGGAACTTTTTTCATTTCCAGGGATTGCGGGGGGGGGGGGGGGGTCGGTGTATTTCTTCTGTTTGTGATGAATGAATACGTGATCCCAACTTTCCCAAAGGTAGTTTTTCGTTTGAGTTAATAAAATTAAACCAAATCCCCTGGGATGGAGAAGATAGGATCTTCTGACAGTAGACCCTGGCCTCTAGATGCTCCTCATACTCCGAACGCCTAGCTTCCAGACAGGGGGTCTGGCGGAGATGGGACTTTGCAGCCCCTGGCCAGCGCTCTTTTCCTCCGCTCCAGCGCAGCCAACCTGAGGTTTTGGTCCCAATTGTCTGAGAGCCCCAAACGCACAGAAGCCAACGCACCCTCTCCTCCAATATTTGCAGAACTGTTGACTATGAAACGGGATATTCCCGTTCCCTGGAGATGGAACGTAGACTGGGAAAATTAACACAAGTTGATCACGAAAACTAAGGATAAGAAGCCAGTTTCCCCCGAATTCGTAGTTTCCAAACTGCAGCCAAAGGGCGAGGGAGGCGAGGTTCCCTGGGGGTACCGGCAACCTCTCACCGCCTGCGGCTAGGTGCTTGTGTTGGGGTCCTTTCTGGGTTCGGGGACTGTAGGGTGTCCCAGACTTTCCGCTTCTTCCGCGTGGAAGGCGAGCATGAAGCCATTCTGTTAGGGGGACCCGGCAGGGGAGACATCCCGAGAAGGAAAATTAAGAAACTTCCGCAAACTGGAGTGAGGCGATTCTTTCCTTCCCTGGCCAGAAGTGCCGGGAACACCGCCTTTCTGGGTTCCGCTTCACCCTTGCCCGATCTCCAAGGCACGAGTTTTCTACACTGCGTGTTATGGGCACTTGTGTTCGATGTTTCTCATTAAAAGTTGTTTCCACACTGATCTGGAAACTGCCCCAAGCTAGGGAAGATTTGTGCTTTGACATTATACTCACCGTCCTCTCTAGTTTGCCCCTGCTCTGTCGCATTTCAAGAAAATGAGCTCTTAGAAAAGAAAGCCTCTCCATAGAGGCAGCTGGCAATCTCACAGAAATGATGTAAATGGTTGCAGGGCTTCCTCCCCCCAACCTAGGCTATTTTTTTCGAGTGAACTGTGAAGATCTGTGAAAATAATATCAGGGTTTTCCGTCAGAACGAGCTTTGCCCTGCACTCAGGCGTAGCATAATCTGACCCGACACCTCCAACCATCTGTGCTATCTATCTGCCTTCTGATTTACCAGAGCTGTACAAGCCGCATACAAATTGTACTTGATACTAAAGAAAAGACAGCCAGGCCCAGTCCAGTTCGGAGGTGAATATTACCATTTGATTCCTTTAGGGATGGACCCAAAGATGGCTTTCCAGGCATTTTCATTAGACTCCCCTCTCCCGATTACTTTCTTCACACTAAACAAGTCCCTATCAAAGGCTCAGGTGAGATCATGGTTTCTTTTGACAGAGACCGTAGAAAATGGTATGATGTGGATGTCAATTGGGAATCAATAAAAGTTGCCAATTCAGTCTGCTGGCCCTAAGGCAGAGCTGCCTAGAAAGCCCTTCCTCTCTGCGGGAGGGGTCAGTGCCCAGCAGCTTAGAAAGGGTTTTCTGCTCCACTCCCCCACCCCCTATTTCTGTGATTCCCCCTTCTCTATTTTATTTGTACAGAGTTTCTCTGGGGCAAAAGGCCAAGGTTAGAGTTTCTATTCCCAGCTCAGCTTGAGTTAAATGTTCTAATACAGGGTAGGGTAAAATCAGCCTGCAAGAAGAGCAAATCAATACTTTAAAAAAGATCTTTGAAATAAGCTTTTAAGTTGCTGTCCTGACCTACCCATGACTTCTCACTCTAGATGTGGCTATGCTGCACATTTGTTCAAGTCCACTACACTGGGGGGAGGGTACTGCTGAAAAGTATAAAGTTTGGTGGGTTCAATTCCCCTTTCTTGAGTATTTGACTTCATAGTCAACACCTGTGTTATCAGGTGTGAGAATTGTTCTAGCTGGTATTTAAAATCATTTCAGGAGGCTTTTGAAGGTGGTGTGGATAGCCCAAACTGACCTCTTAACGGATCCCTGGTCCCGTTCCTTCTGCTTCAGATTTGCTTCCCACTCGGCTGCTTTGCAGCTGGAAAAGGGGGAAAGGCATGCGGGGATGGATGCTGGGGGGAAATGAGGTGATCTACTTGCCTCCCTCCCCATTCGTGCGCTCCCCCCAAAAGTTTTGTTTCATTACAATTAAATGTGGCGAATTCTTGGAGGATTTCGATTTGGCCCAGTCCTCATTGTCTTCTGGAGACCTCTTGACCCAGGCAGCGCATCACTCCGAAGTGGATTCCGGTAGCACCACTGCCTCTTTTGGCAAGGGTGGGGGGGCGGGGGTGCAGGGACAAGGCTGGATGAGGGTGTTGAAACGCTGCTGTTCTTGCCTCTCCCTTTCTCCCAGCCACTCTCCAGTCTTGTTCTCCTCCAGGTTCTGCAAAATACTGAGGAAAAGTCCACGGGTGAACTGCGGGCGCTGTCGAGAGCGGGGAGGTGCTGAAATGACCCGGGCGCGCTGGTCGCAGTCTTGATTGGCAGAGCGGGCCAGTGACTGACAGGGGGTCTCCATGGCGCCCGCGCCGCCAGTCCGCCCATTCCAGTAGCGGCGCCAGTTCGCCGGCCTGCGTGCCCTAACGGAGCCGAGCTGAACCCGGGCGGTGGGACCCGCACCTCCTCCAATCCCTCCTGCTCGCTCGCTCCCCGCCGCTGCGCCGCCGCAGCTGCCCGGGTGGTGCGTCCCGGCTGCCCTAAGCCGCTTCACCGAGCAGAGCCTGGCGCACCCGGCCAGGCCCGCCGACATCCGCTGCGCGTCCCGTTGCGTGCTCAGCGCCCCCGCTGCAGTCTGCGCTGCCTCGATGTTCCAGTTGCCCATCTTGAATTTCAGTCCCCAGCAAGTGGCCGGGGTATGCGAGACTCTGGAGGAGAGCGGCGACGTAGAGCGCCTGGGTCGCTTCCTCTGGTCGCTGCCCGTGGCCCCTGCGGCCTGCGAGGCCCTCAACAAGAATGAATCGGTGCTGCGCGCGCGAGCCATCGTGGCCTTTCACGGCGGCAACTACCGCGAGCTCTACCATATCCTGGAAAACCACAAGTTCACCAAGGAGTCGCACGCCAAGCTGCAGGCGCTGTGGCTCGAAGCGCATTACCAGGAGGCTGAGAAGCTGCGTGGACGGCCCCTGGGGCCGGTGGACAAGTACCGCGTGAGGAAGAAGTTCCCGCTGCCGCGCACCATTTGGGACGGCGAACAGAAGACACACTGCTTCAAGGAGCGCACGCGGCATCTGCTACGGGAATGGTATCTGCAGGACCCATACCCCAATCCCAGCAAAAAGCGTGAGCTTGCCCAGGCAACCGGACTGACCCCTACGCAGGTGGGCAACTGGTTCAAAAACCGCCGACAAAGGGACCGGGCGGCTGCAGCCAAGAACAGGTCAGTACCTAGAGGCCTACGCGCCTTGCGCTCACCCTGTGGGGGGGGGGGGGTGGTTGAAGGCGCCCCGGGTGCCCTTTCCCGGGGCCCGGCGACTTGGATCCGAAGGAGATGAGTGAGAGCTCAGTCTGTCTTCAGTTAAGAGCCCACTGCGTTCTGGGATCCTGGGCGGGGAAAGAGGGAAGTTCCTTCCGGGCTCTGGGTTCTCCATTCTCTCCCTCGTTCTCGGAACCTGAGGGTCACTCCAGCCGCTAGTTGCAGTCACAAAACCAAGGCTGTATTGAGAAGGGGAAAGAAGTAAACATTAAAATCCCAGCAACAATTAAGGACCCCATGGTCCAAAGCTAATTCCTGTCAGCCTGGGCCCAGGCTCCTATTAAGCAAAGCCTGACTTAATAGCAATGTGGCAGGTCAGTCGTGTCGTTTTAAAAGCCCGGATGAATTCTTCTCTAATGCTTTGAAAACAGTTTTCGATGGACTTCCGTATAGAAGTCGCGTTCTCTTTCCATGCGTGGACAACCCTGCCTCAAAACAGCAAAGCAGTCGATTGAGGCTTGTCGCTCAGCAGCGTGTGGATCTAAACTAGCCAAACATTTTGGCCAAGAACCCAGCCTCATCCCCCAGGCCCAAATGTTCCATGCGAGCCTCCGGCAGCCCTTTTTGCCTTTAGCTTTGGCCCGACCTGGCCTCGAGGGCACTGACTCGAGCGCGCCCGGAGCAGACGCTGTCCCCGAGCCCCGTATGCCCTTGTCACCCACACCTCATTTGTCTTGACAGTACTGTGAATCTCCCAAAGGCGGCCAACAACCGTGAATGAACTGTGAGCCCAACATCTCAGATGGGGAGCTCAGAGAGGATTCAGAAGGAAGAAAGACGGGACCACTGCTGCGCTGCTTGCAGAGGCGGCCAGCAGTGGAATCGTGCCTGGCCTCCGTTGCCGCACTTTTCTTACTTTAACTGCTGGGGTCTGTGGGAGAGCCGCGAGCTAGCCGACGGGCTTAAGGGATGCAAAGCGGGGGGGAGGGGGGCAGGGGCAGCTATATTATGCGCTGTGACTGGTGTCCCTTTCCTTCCCGCAGACTCCAGCAGCAAGTCATGTCGCAGGGCTCCGGGCGGGCTCTAAGGGCTGAGGAAGAGGGCACGCCCGAGGTGCTGGGCGCCGCCGCCAGTCCGGCCGCCAGCCTATCCAGCAAGGCAGCCACTTCAGCCATCTCCATCACGTCCAGCGACAGCGAGTGCGACATCTGAGCTGCCCAGCCAGCACGCTCGGAAATAGAATCCACTATTAAAACAAGGCAAAATGAAATAGGAAGGGAGGATGAGAGACCACGCAAACCCAGCGCTTGCGAAACCAGGTGGCCAGGGACCCGCGGGCTCGGGTTGCGCGTTTCCGCCCGGCAGCCGGCCTGGCTCCACCAGCGTCCTATGGCCGCTATCACAGGGGCCCGCGGTGAGGCCCAACCCAGCGCCACATTCTCCTTGCTTTGCTTTTTCCCCAAGAATTTTACTGCAGAGATGCCTCCGGAACCCGAACTGCACGCCGAGCGACTGCCCTGAATTTCCCGTGGGTATTTCACGTCGAAAGGACGCTGTTATATATGTATAACTTTTGCTTCAAAGTTTTTTTTTTTAAACAAAACATATATATGCTGTTTATTTACTTATTTAAGAGACTACCGTGGTAGGTTTCTCTGTATCTTGGAACTTGCTGTTTCTAAGGGCGCAGGGTGGAACAGATGGGTTCTGTGTGAAGAAGCCAAACAATAAAAACCTGGTGAGCAACCTTTCTTAATCAAGTGAGCGGCTCTCAGATTCTTAAAAACAGAAACAAAACAAAACAAAAAAACCAACTCTTCACCAGGTAAGCAGAGGCCCTTGTGCAAATGGTCTCAGGATAGTCTTTTCTGTATCTTTTGCTTTTTCTGATGTCTCCTGGTGTATTTTTTAAATGGCCCATGGTAGATCCATAACCACCTGCTCAACAAATTGTATGTGTGTAGGTATATATGCACATGTGCATATGTATCATATATTTAAACCCAGAAATTGGCAACATGAGCATCCCCTATAAGGTAACTTCACACATCCCCAAGCAGTTTACTATGGCTTGTCCACTGGACATTCACTTTTATGAAGTGTTAATGGCTTTCAGGAACAGTTGAAGAAGCCAAACTCTGGGACCCAATTCTGAGTTCTATTTTATAAAAATGCAAGAGTATTCTGACACAGGCTCTGCAATTAGAAAGGCCTTCCATCTCCTCTTCCGGCCCCCTCCCATATAAAACAGGCACCCCTGACCAGGCTAGACTGAATATATACTACATTTAGGATTAAACTCATATTAAAATGAGACAAAAGATAGGAGAGGTTTTAGTAACTAAATGAACATCTTCTTGCTGCAGAAGTTTTTAATCAAATATTATTTTCCACAAAAGGGATACTTAGATGAAGGAAAGGATGTAATCATGTCACATGAAACAGAAGGCTGCATAGAGTGGCATTTTAAAAATCTGATCTCTGTATTAAACATTAAATAAGTCATCTAGAGCTTCATTGTCCTGCAATGGCCTTAATTAAAACTATCAAATATTCTTAGGGTTTAATTTGTGCAGGCACACACACACCAAAAAAAGAAAATGAAATAATGTCCTTGCACTAAAAAAAATAAATGTTATCCAGAGTCTCTTAAGCTTTTTTTTCCTAGTGAAATGGGTTGCATATTATAAAATTTGACATTGCTCTTTAAATCACTTAAGCTGAACTTCCCTCCTTGAGCTCCTCCTGCCACACACACACACACACACACACACACACACACACGACTCCTTTCAATTTACCTCTCTGTCCTTAGCAGATGTCCTCTGATTCAGAAACCTATCTTATTTGGGTAGAAGTCCCAATGTGCAAACCAAAATAAATAAATAAGATAAAATAAGTGAAGTCATGGAAGGCCAAAAGCAGTCATATGGCAAGATATATGAGAGAAGCCAAAGACATGATTAAGGGATGATTTTTGGTTTCTAAATCACTTAACCAGATTTGGTCTCATTTGGGTTTTATAAATTTTTGTCATTGTATACTAGAATTGTTGACAACCAAAACTCTTGCACAAGAACTCTAGGTAGAAGGAGTGAGGATGTCTTTGTGATCAAGATGGCGTTCTTTGGGAAGGCAAGCAAATGCCCTTCTGTGGGTCCAGAAAGGCTAGGATGGTAGAGCTTCCTGAAAAATCTTATTTTGTTTCCTAGAATGCCCTCCCTCCCCACCTAGTTCCTTGAATGCCCAGGAGCAAGGCCATGACTCCTTTGAGACCACGGAAGCACCCAGAGTACAAAATTTAAGGAGGCATTCACTCTCAAGGTCAAGCAAGTACAGCAAGTGCAAGGCATCTGGGAATGAGTGCCCTTTTAAATTTTGCACTGTAGGTGCTTGCTTTGCTTCACTGCAGTCCTGAATCTGCAAAGGAGTATTGCACATAAATGAAACATCAAGAGGTTTCCATTCTTGTTCCCCAGACCCACCTGACCCTAACAAAGGAGCTGCCCAGACCAGCACTTGGAGAAAACAGCAAATTTTGTCTCTTAAACTGATGTTTCCAGATAGAAGAAGAAAGGGAAAGGACTAATTAGGAGAATGACCAAGAGGTATTTGAGATTCTAAAAATCCCATTCTACTCACCAGTTCAAATAATGTCTAAAAGCAGAAGAAAATGTCCATTCTGCATTCTCAAGAAAAAAGGGTAACACTGATAAGAACTAAGCTTTCTCTTTACAAATCATTTTTAAATAACACTTACGGCTTGGCAAAAAAGAAAAAACCAAACAGTTATGGAGTGATTTTCTTCCAGCCTTGGTGAAAGCTTTTAAAGTACATCTAATTTGCTTGAAGTAAGATGTTGCCTAAGGATTACATTATAAAGTAGCTATTCTGTTCCACCAATCTGTGGGTTCACTTATCTAATTTCATGTTAAGGGGTGACACATTATTTTAAAGATTTTTTAAAAATGTTTATCTGAAACCTGGTGACACCTAACTGTTCTCGTGAGTAATCAACTCTTTGATAATCGTGCGTTGGAAACTGGTCCAAATCATCACAGAGATTTATGTTAATTGGCCCCAAAATTCCCACGGGCAGGTAATTCCCACGTAAAAATTCCCATTTTCTAGGGTTTTCGTTTTTTCCCCGTATCAGTTTTATCCTGGTCTAGAAAGGTGGGTTTTTTTGTTTGTTTGTGTTTAATTCCAGGTAGTAGCAATGTTGAAGGTTTCCGAATTTGGAGAAATCTCCATACGATGGGTTTCCTTTCTGTCTTCCCTTGAAATTTATTTCTTGTAACAATTTCCCCAAAAGCAGTCACTCCAGCAGGGTGGAAAGAAACTGCATTCTAACAATTCAATGGATCTGACCAGTGTGAGGATTTAACCACCAGCCTCAGTTCAGGCCCCTTTATCGGTTATAAATATTTCAACCACCCTCCAGTTGCACCAAAAGCGCGATGGCTCCCGCTCCCCAAATGCCGCAGCTCCTCGCTCCTCCGCTTTAATGACCGACTCCTCTTCCACCCGCCGCGCTCGCCACCCCTCTCCCGCCCCATTTCCCTCCTCCAGTTTGTTTATAAAAATCTGGGAGGGAGGGGATGAGAGGCTGCGGTGGGGGAGGACTTGCTCTTTGTTTACATTAAACAAATGACAGGCAAAGAGCTCAATCAAAATCTTCCTTGACCTCGTTCTTTCTCCCTAATTTTAACAAAAAGGGAAAAAATATTGTATCCAAAGAGAACGTGAATGGGGAGGGAGGAGAAGAGAAGCAGCTTTTCGCTCTATTCAGGCGGGACGCGGGAGCGCGGACGATTTCCGCTCCTATTGTGAGGCGGGGCCCGGGGGCGGCGGTGAATGGGGGGTCTGCCGGGCGGCCCGCAGGGCTGTCAGGCGGCTCAGCGTAATCAGGGCTAATGACGGTGGCCGGGAGCTCGGCAGGACAATGCGCGGGGCCGCGGGGTTTTGTCGGCCTGAATGGCTAATAGGTTTGCCTGGGGGTGCGAGGGGGGCGGTGTCGGGGATGAGGCGGCGGCGAGGGGAGAAGGGGTCATTGTTCGCCCACTGGCCCGGGCGCCGAGGCGCGTCCCACCCCGCGCGGCTGCCCCCGGGCCCCAGAGCGGCCGGCAGCAAGGCCGCGGCTGGGAGGCCCCCTGGAGGCCTGCTGGGAAACGGCGGCCGAGGCGGCGGGTGCGTGGGTCCCCTAGAGGAGGCAGCCCTGAGAGAGGAGGTGGGCACGAACTCTGTTCCCCTGGAGAATTCCACAGCGGGTCCCCGGTACCCGGGACGGTATATCCCTCCGCCAGGGTTCGGATCGCGACTCCGTGAGGTGACAGCTCCACACACCCACCTTCTCCGTCCAGCGCCCTGGGAGCTCTGAGACGTGTAGGCCGCGAGCCATCCAATTGTTAGACTGCTTGACTCGAGCCGCTCGAAGAGAGAAACCTCTTAAAATCAAGGGGCGGGGGGAGGGGGTGAGTGAAGCAGGAGAGAGAAGAGTTAAAAACCCAGGTGAGGGGTAAACAAATGCGCGCTGTGGCAGCAACGAAGGCTGGCGCTCGCCTCGCGCCTCTGACGGCGCTGCAGCGCTTCGCGAGCCGCGTGCGGGACGATGCGCCGCGGGTCTGGGCCTGCGCGGGTGGCTGCGGCGCGCGTCGGGCTTGCGTGCGAGGCGGCTGCGCGCCGACGGCCGCCCGCGTCCGGCAGCGCTAAGCACACGTGTTGGTGCCCCCGCTCCAGAGACCGGTCACCGCGGGCTCTTGGCGGCGTCGCGCGAGTTGCCCGAGGGGTGACAGGAGGGCAGACAGGCTCAGACTCAGGGAGCGGGATCTGCAAGGCGCTGAGGCCTCGAGAGGGCTTTGCGCTCCCGGAAGATCCGCGGGTCACCCGTCGGGGTTGGGGACCCGCAGCAGAGCGTCCGGAAAGCCAAATGCCTGCAGCGGCGCAGTTACACTCCGGCGGGCCCCCGCCGCCACCGGAGCCCCGGTCTTTCAGAAACTTGGCCGTGCCCATTTCGGCTCCTAGGAATCTCCTCAGGCTAGATCATGGCAGGCGACTCTCTTTGCTCGGATTTATATTCCCAAATGTTTTCAGACCTACCCTAGCGTTAGGGATCGAACTGGTTCCTCCCCGGCTTTTCGCGGGTCCGAAGACAAAGCGGTGTGAGGGCGATCCCGGAGCTCAGCAAGCGGTGTCACGCCCGGGTGCCTCTG